AAACAAAAGCATATATATATATATATATATATTATATATATATATATATCGGATGCTTAATTGGATACACGTACATTAAAGGATTTGGGCTCATGTTAAACATCAATTAAGAAAAACTAGTAGCCCATGAAACAAAATAAATTAAAAGAAAACCAAAAAAGAAAGAGAAAAAGAAGACGAAAAGATACAAAGTGAAAACTCAAAAACAAATAACAAAAAATTTCTTTGAGCATCTTGATAAAGTTTGTTCTTGGAGCCACACCATAAAGATACAGTGCACTACAAGTTCTTTGAAAAATGTCTTTTGCATTTACCATCAGGTGACGAAGGACCTGACCACTACAAGTTTAGGAAAGAAGGCACCATATCTTAGGGATTGGAAACTTCACTTTCTGGTTATTACACGTCTGTTTATCGGTGAGTTAGTTTAAGTCACCTTCAAATTCATACTCCTACAAATGTTAATAAACTCGCCTGTATCATCTATGAATATCATCAGAAGAACATTTGTGGAGCTGAAGCAAACATGGACCAAAAACATGTGAACAAGGTGTTCGATAAATTGCCCTAAAAAAAATCTAGCAAGTGATTGATCAAATTCTTCCACTTGAGGTAGAATTTGTACCTTGTTTGTGATTACCATGTTATTTCAGTGTAAATCAATTATAAAATGCAACTCATTAGCATGTTCGAATATTTATGTTAGCATTTTGTCGGTGTTGTAAAATCATGGGGGCTCCTCATGAGCCATATATTGGCAAAAAAATATCTAAGAAATCTACTCAGGCTATATGGGTGACTACCATACTAGGAAGCTTAGGCTCTGACCATCCAAAAGGAGTTAATTTTAATAAAAAGAAATATTAGGTACCTTTTAATTTTTTACTGATGTCTAGTGAACTTTGCAATTTTGTAAATAATTTAAAAATACATGATTGAGCTTTGGATTAGTTACTTGATATTATGTAAGTGTGATGCATTGTTTAATATAGACAATTGCATATATATATATATATATTAATTCATTTATCTATTCAGAAATGACTTAGAGCTACTCATTCATTTGTCACCTATAATGAATTGATTGTTCATTTAGATAATCACCTATATATGTTGGTACTTACTTCGTATAATTTCTTACACCGTATTAGATATACATCTTATTTTTATCTTCTAATTTTTGTATGCTTCTTTTTCAATGAAGGTCAATCATGGATGATGAAGTGAATAGTTGGATCCATTACCCACAATCAAGTAATGAGTATGCCGAAGGAGTGGAGAAGTTTCTAAATTATGCATTTTCTGTTCGAGCAGAGGGAGATGAAATAAGTTGTCCATGTAAAGGTTGTTATAGTCGTTTTTGGCATCGTAGAGATGAAGTTTATAGTCATCTTATTTGCAATGGCATTGGTCCAGACATTAAAAAATGGTATTTCAGTGAAAAGGGTTCCCACTCTTCCCAAAATGAAAAGAGAGACTTTGTGCATGATGACATTGAAAATTTAATATATGACACACATAGGGATATTGCAGACAAACTTTCTGGCTTCCATGAAGAGGGATTTGAAGAAGGAATGGAAAAAGATGCCAACACAGAGGCTAAAAAGTTCTTTAAGCTGGTTGAAGATGGAAAACAAGCAGTATATCCAGGTTGTAAATCATTTTCTAAGTTATCATTCATCATTCGGCTGTATCTTTTCAAGTGTGTCCATGGGCTTAGTAACATGGCCTTTTCTGAACTTCTTGAGATTATTCAAGAATTGATTCCAGAAGCTATATTACCTAAATCTTTCAATGAAGCTAAGAAAATGGTAAAGGATTTAGGTCTTGATTATCAGAAGATTGATTCATGTCGGAACGATTGCATGCTTTTCTGGAAAGACCATGGAAATGCTTCAGCTTGCCATGTTTGTCATGCACCAAGATGGAAAGAAGAAGAAAATCAAAATGATATTGAGTATCAACATGTTCGTCGTATTCCAGCAAAAGTTGTTTGGCATTTTCCCCTAAAGCCGAGACTGCAAAGGTTGTATATGTGTGCTGAAACGGCTCAGTATATGAGGTGGCATGATGAAAAAAGATTAAAAGATGGGAAATTACGACACCCAGCAGACGCAAAAGCTTGGAAAGATTTTGACTCATTTTACCCAAGTTTTGCTAGAGATTGTCGTAATGTGCGACTGGCTCTTTCTAGTGATGGATTTAACCCATTTCGAACCATGAGCACAACACATAGTACATGGCCTGTAGTTTTAATTAATTACAATCTACCGCCATGGTTGTTCATGAAGCAGGAGCACCTTATTTTATCTTTACTTATACCTGGGCCTGTCTCTCCGGGAAACGACATTGATGTTTACTTACAACCTTTGATCGAAGAGCTAAAAGACTTGTGGGAGTTTGGGGTGGAAACTTATGATGCTTCAACTCATCAAACATTTGATATGCATGCTGCTTTACAAGCAACAATAAGTGATTTTCCTGGTTATGCAATGTTGTCTGGTTGGAGCACAAAAGGAAGATACGCATGTCCCAGTTGTCATTATGAAACAGATCATTTCTATTTAAAGCATAGTAAAAAGTCATGATACATGGGAAATCGAAGGTTTTTGGATGCAAATCATTGTTGGCGTCGTGATAAAAAGTCTTTCAATGGGCAGAGTGAAAAGAGGGAAGCACCAAATCCTCTATCTGGGACTGAGATCTTACATTTGTTGGAAGGCTTTGAAAATAAGTTTGGAAAGACACAACCAAGGAAATCTGTTGAAAATTGCCCTTGGAAAAAAAAATCTTGTTTTTTCAATTTGCCGTATTGGGAGCACAATGCTACTCGCCATCATCTTGATGCTATGCACATCGTGAAAAACATTTGCGATAGCATTCTTGGCACTTTGTTGGACATTCTGGGAAAAACAAAGGATCATCTCAATGCTCGTTTAGATCTTAAAGAAATGGGAATAAGAAGTTCGCTACATCCTATCAACTCTACAGGAAAACGAGTCTTGATGCCTAGAGCATCATTTTCAATGACAAAGCAAGAGAAAACTTTGTTCTGTGAAGTTATAAAAAGTGTCGAGCTACCACAAGGATGTGGCTCGAATATTGCACGTTGTGTACAAATGCGTGAATTGAAGATATCAGGATACAAAAGCCACGATGCCCATATTTTGATGCAACATTTACTTCCAGTTGCTGTCAGAAAAACTTTGCCTAAACAGGTTGCTCTAACTTTGATAAAATTGAGTGCCTTTTTTAGAGCTATATGTAGCAAAGTTATCAATCCATTAGACTTAGATCTCTTGCAACGTGATATAGTTAAAATTCTCTGTATGCTTGAGAAAATTTTTCCGCCATCTTTCTTCGATATTATGATGCACTTACCTATCCATTTAGTTGACGAGGTTAAGTTAAGTGGACCAGTAAGTGGTTGGTGGATGTTCGGACCCGAAAGGTATCTTGGAAAATTGAAAGAATATGTCAAAAATCGAAGTCGCCCTGAGGGCTCTATAGCTGAGGGATATTTGGCAGAAGAGGGTTTGATATTTTGTTCGAGATATTTGCCTGATGGTGCAAAGAAGAAATCCAAAGGCTTTAATCGTAAATCTGTTGAAGTAGATGCATGTGATGATGTATCAATTATTTTTCCTAAGGTGGGACATCCTCTTGGCAGAAAAAAGAGAGGGAAGAAAGGGGCATTCTCCCTAGACTCCAACACACAAAATCTGGCTCATCGGTATGTGATATTCAATTGCCAGAACGAGCATGTTGAAAAATATATACTGTAAGTTTGTTACTCGTTCTTTTTTTAATTATATTGTTCCTTCCTTTAATTTTATAGTACTGTGTGGGTCATTTACCAATGATTTTAGTAAATATATTCTATGATAAATTCTTATTTGTTTGTTGTTTTCTATTGATTTTAGAAATTATGAAATTTTTAATAATGTAGGGAACACGAAGATATGATGAAAGTGAAGCCTCAAGATAAACAAAGAAAAAGGTGGAGGCAGGCTCAACAACATAGCCAAGAATTCACGGTTTGGTTTAAAAAAAAGGTTGAGTTAGAAAAAGTTCCTGATCATGTTAAATGGTTAGCTTTGGGGCCTTCTCGTGTTGCAAGGAGATACACAGGGTACTTCATTTATGGTTATAAATTCTATACTCAACAGCGTGATGCCAAATTAAAAACACAAAACAGTGGAGTTACTTTGACTGCCTTGACTTCATGTTTTGCTAGTACTAAGGATAATAATCCGAGAGTTGATGGGGTCAATTATTATGGGAGAATAAATGATATCATTGAGATTGACTATTGGGGTTCTTTTAGTGTTGTCTTATTCAATTGTGAGTGGTTTCAAGAGGAAAATGATTCATATGGTCTCACCCGTGTTAATTTCAACAAGTTGTGCTATGAAGATGACCCTTTTGTCTTGGCATCACAAGTGAATCAAGTTTTCTATGTAAAAGATGCTATTGAAGATGGCTGCTACTATGCTATGAAAAAATTAGCAAAAGACTTCACTAATATGAAGGACCAAACAGAGGACACATATTTTATTGAATCTAGTGAATATGTGGAGGATACGTCGGTGTCTATGCTCAACGGCAATGATGAAAATAGTTGGAGTAGAGAGGGTGCACCTCCTGTTATCCTTGATGATCTTCATGCAATTCAAAACCAAGAGCCTAACTCAGAATCTGACGATACGGGTTTGATATAAATCATCATATGCAACTTTAGATATTATTATAGAAATTATTTCAATTCCTATTTTGAGAGGAAGGATGGTACTTTTCTATTTATGTGGATTTATTTTTTTTTTCATTAAAGGATAGTGAATTGGGTAATTTTAGTACTTTATGTGAATGGTGAACTCATGTTTAATGTCTGCTCTAGTTGTTTCAATATTGACATGATTATATGTATTATTTAACATTCATAAATTTAATAAGGTCATTAATTTTTTTCCTCTTAATGGCCCATGTACTATTCTAATTTGAGCAGCACATATTATGTTGAAGTTAGTAAGTGATCAAATAATATGTGATTTGTATTGAACCTTGTTATATGAATTGAGTTGTAGGAACAAATATCACCATTTCTCATATATTTTGTTCTTTTAAGTTGCACTCTCAAATATAGAAAATGAATGTTTGTATTTAGAGATCAAAGTCCACAACAACTTGTGTAATGTCAAGTTAGCATGTTTGTTTCCTGGAGTCATTAATATGCTTTTATCGTGTTCTTTTATTTTTTTTTTCATCTTGAACTCTTTCTTTTAGTGTGACTAAGGACAAACACATGAGCTTCCGTATGAGTGACGAGTTGCAAAAGCTGAAAATATTGAAGAACTTCATTACAGGTGTATGCTAGTGACTATTTCTTATTATTTCATCACTTCACAATATAATTCATTAATTTGTAATTTCAACTTTTGTTTATGTGCAGCATCTGGAGATGTAATTTTTTAGGGCTGCTATGAGCTACGAAGGGTGTTGGGTTTAATATTGGTAGTCTTAATATAGTACATATGACAAATGAAAATTGCTAGTTTGCGTATGTCAACATTGTTTTTGCATTATATTTAACGATTTTCGTCAAAATAAAAGTTTGATGTTGCTCGAGTTGTAACAGTTATGGTTCTTAATGAATTGGATATTGATAATTTTCTCTATATGTTGTGTATTTGTTCAGATTAAGATTTATTATTTTTGCTCGACGATGTGATTTCATTAAAATAAGATTGTCTTTTTTCAACTCACAAGATGTTATAAACTAATTAAGACAAAAGACAGAAAAGATGATCACTATCAAACATAAATAAGCCATGTAGCTTCTGCTATATGTTAATGCAATCAACATTAGGTTCAAAAGGTGGTGATGACCATTTTTCTTTCCCATTTTATTTGAAAGTCTAACTTATTCTTACCATTATATTTGAAAACTCAAATAGATGCCAATACAAAAGAACATCAAAGAAAGGTATTGAAAGGGCCTAACCGAAGACCTTACAAAAGAACTTGATGTAAATATTCTTACTAAAACTCTTAATATGTTTATAATTATTGAAAATAACATTAAACTTTCATTAATATTGTTAGCTTTCAGGCCGTTTCAAGGCGTTGTAAAGTCAATTTTTTTTTTATTTGTTTGCCTTTGACTCACTGTACTAAACTTTTTATATATATTTCTTTTTATGAGAGTGCATAGTAAAAATAATTTATTTAGTACCACAATATTGTACTATAAACACTAGAATATTTACCCTTCTTATAAATATTATTTTTATATGCTTGATTTATTTTAGCGCTTTCAAATACAATAATTACATTATCAAAATTTGGATTCTACATTTCATTTATTAATTATATAATTACATAGACTTTTTTTTAGATGGACAATT